CAATTTTATGGCTTCACGTCACAAGTTAGTTTGATGTTACGTACATTATTAACATTACAGAATCCACATATTCCTGCCAGTTTTAATATGTATTTTGAAATCAACAAGTGTGTAACAGCGGTCAAAGTTTGACACTTCTCTAGCCATTATCTCTGTAACCGTTCAACTTTGGACATGTGTTTTGGGTTATATCGGCATACTTTCACATAAGGAACACCCTCCCGAAGTTTGGTCCATTCCTCCTGGGACATCCTGTATATAAAATATTTTAATTTTGTAATCATAAAATACTGGGCGATAAAACTGTAGTAATTATCGGGGGACATCACTGCTATCAACTTCATATAAAATTTTGTCCAATATTCTTCTTTCAAGGTTAAGTCCATATATAGATGAAATTATTAGGGATCATCAGTGTGGGTTTCGATGTAACAGACCAATTACAGATCAGATCTTTTGCATTCGTCAGAACAGGGTGTTGAGGAGAATATTTGGACCAAAGAGAGATGAAGTGACAGGAGGTTGGAGAAAACTGCATATTGAGGAACTTCATAACTTGTACTGTTCTCCAAGTATAATTAGAATGATCAAGTCAAGGATGAGATGGGCAGGGCATGTAGCACAAATGGGGGAGATGAGGAATGCATATAGGATATTGGTGGGAAAGCCAGGAGGAAAGAGACCACTGGAAACACCAAGGCGTAGGTGGGTAGACAATATTAAAATGGATCTTAGAGAGATAGAATGGGATGGTATGGATTGGATTGATCTGGCTCAGGATAGGGATCAGTGGATGGCTCTTGTGAACACAGTAATGAATCTTTGGGTTGCATAAAATGCTGGGAAATTCTTGTGTAGCTGCAGATTTGGCTTCTCAAGAAGGGCTCATCTCCATAAGTACGTAATCATAAAATAGGGAGAGTTTAAATATAGAGAAAGATGCATGCATGTATACAGCTCTGAAATAACTTCAACTTCTTGTAAAGAGTGTGGAAAGAAGAGAGTTTCGGTAAAGTATTTAAATTATTTTGTATTTGGCACAGTTGTTGAGCAATAATCTGTTACAGACAATCCAAAGAAATGGAATCAGTCATTGATTTATATTCCAAGGTGTTTTATACTCATATTTCCACATGTTTACATCCAGTAAATTCTGATTATGAAAATCTATTGCATTCTTATCAGTAATATTTTATGTACTACATACTTCAGATAACATTTCTTGCAGTACTGATACATTGTCTCTTAATTCTTGAACTTCAGCCACCAATTTCGTTTCCACCTCATCTCTGAAAGAAGTATGAAGTTAGAGGCACCACAATCCAAACATAACATCTGGTATTGAAAGAATACCGGTTTCTAGCTCTTCTGAGTAAACATTTTCCATGAAAATGATGATTGCAAAGGGACTATACTGGCAGATCCACATACCAGCAGTTAGCACTACCTACAACCAACACATGCAGCGCCCTATTGGTACACTAGATCATAATCTGACTTAGTATGATTATGATTTTATTGTATAGAGAGATGTACATTAATTTCCATTGATGACTATATTTCTTTGATAACATACAAGAATTTCTGTTGAACATAAATTTTCAGAGTAACTCCTACATAATTTCTCATGACAGACGTACTTTTCCATGATAACACACTAATTTCTGTTCTTGAATGTATGGTCCTGTGACAACATAATACAGTAATTTTTATTAAGCCATAATATCATGCTATAACTGTTGACAGGTGGTCAGGACACATTTGTTTCACTGACCTCTAATGTAGACATATCCAGGACAGAACAAGTATAAGTAAAATATCTTGTGTACAGTTTGAAAAAGGTCAATATAGAACATGGTGACTTGTTTTTTCAGTGTCCACATCAATTTGTAAATCATCATTGCCCTTAACACTATTTAGATTAATCACATTGTAAAAAAAAATTAAATATTTAAAACTTGCACATCCAAATATTTGTTTTTAGTTGATGCACATAAAATTAATACACATGTGAAAAATGTACAACTTTGACTCTAAAATAAAAACAAACAAAAAAGAACTCTGTGATCTAAGTCCACAAGCGAACTATACCGGCTGAGCAACCGCTGCATGTCAGCGAAGTTTAGTGCCAACTTTTGCAGATAGAGGATGTCGCGTGGTCGGCGCAACGAATCCCCACGGCCGTTAATTTCGGTTTTCTAGACCGCTCTAAAATAAAACACATGCTAACAATGTTTTGAAGAAAACATTTCAGCAATATGCATGAGGTTGCTGAGTTCAGAATCAGCAGAACATTATGAATCCAATCTCCATGCTGCTTTCATGATACTGTACACAAAATTGGTTATGACCACTTTATTTAATGCAGGAAGCTCGCCAATCAGCAAGCTCCATGGTACCTGCTTTTGCTTGAGATTCATGCTAGCTACCAACTGAAGAAGCAGAATGAGACGACCTAGTTGACAATTTCTAAAGTGTGCATGTTCTGTGGAAGCAAGAGCATGCAGTATATACAAAGCACTCCATACTGGGCTACAGCCTTTTGTGTAGGTCTGTCTAAATAAGTAACGAATAAGCTTTATCTATGAAGTTTTACTACTAGCAGATGTAAGTTTAAATTCCTTCTGAACAGTAAATTTTCACCATGTTACAACTACATAGTTACGTTGGCATCAGGAAATTTGATAGTGTTATTTATCCAGTGTTTACCTAGTACGTTCAACTGCAGATCTCTGTGCCCTCTGACCAAGACGAGTGAAGGCCAGTGCCATGAAGCCTTCTTTTTCTGCTATTGCCTTCTCCAAGCGGGTGATGTTGCGCAACATGTCATTTGCTTGCTGCATTGTCTGCAAAAATTTATTTATGAAGTGAAACCATTCTCAATAGTGTTGAATGGCTAACCACCATATGTATACACACTGATTTTCAGGAACTATTATTCATTATAATGGGGCACGTATGTATTATTTCCCCATCCCACTATGAATGTTATGTATTACCTCATGATGTTCATTTTCAAGCTTAATTTTGGCATCTCTTGTTTCTCGAATTCTGCGGCTGAAGGACTCATTGGTGACCCTGTACTGATTCAACAAATCTTCTGTAACTTGCTTTAGAAGTATGTCAATGTATGAACGCAGAGGTCGTGTGTTGTTAACATCCTTGGCTGCACGCTCAATGAATTTCTTGGAAAAGTGTTCCCATTCTTCTCTTGTTATATTCCTACTAAACATGTTAATTACAAAAGTACAATATGTATTTAACTACAATAGAATACTAAACACAGAGAATGGATTCTAACACCATCTGAGTTGTAAGAAGGTTTTCTCCTATGACAGAGAGATGTATATGTGACAGAAACGAACATAATGTTTCTGAGTTGGTAATGACTTCACATGCCTAATCAAAAATTTATAAGAAGGCAATGTAGGCATATGTCTTTTACATGAAATAAAGTTACATTAATGTGTTACTTAACCCAATATCAGATAATGTAGAGGTACAATGTGAATGCTTAAAATATTAAACTATTTTGTTTTATTTTTTTCAGATACTTGAATGCTAATGCCAGAAGTGTTTACCACAAAAAACTAAAAAAAAAACTTTTTATGGATTACCACAAGCTCCACATATTCACAATCCAATATAAGTTTCAAGGCTTCTAAATAAGCATTTTTCATGAAAATGTCAACTGACAACAGAGATAATTACTGGAAAAGCCACCTACAGCAGAATTAGTATCACCTGTAACCAACTTATCAATGCACTATAGTGTCATTACAAATTTGTGTTTAGAGAGCTACGGTGAGTCCATAAAATGACTGTATAATTGTGAGGAAATGTCCATCCACTTGTTTCAGAAAATAAATAGTACTAGATAATTGAAGTAAGTTTCATTAAAATAATAATGAAATGTAATGTGAACCACTGTCAGGGTGTCCCAGGAGGAATGTGCCAGACTTCGGGAGGGTGTTCCTTATGTTAAAGTATGCTGATATAACCCAAAACACCTATATCCAAAGTTGAACGGTTATGGAGATAATGGCCTGAGAAAAGTGTGGTTTTCTGGTGGGTCCACACACTGTACCTGTCAGCTGACATGTTTTATCGATGTTTGTCCTTGAGTGTGGTGATGACGACTCACACTAGCCGCATACATTCTCATACCAGAATGCGCAGTCATCTATGTTACGTCAGTGTTTGCCAGTCATGTGTCATGTATAGTGCTTGGAACCCTAACAACAACTATGACATGGCATGCGAGTTTCCTTGTAGTTCAATTTATTGGCTTCATGTCACTGACAAGTTAGTCTGATGTTACGTCCATTATTAACATTACAGAAACCACATATTCCTGGCAGTTTTAATATGTATTTGGTAATCAACAAATGTGTAACACCTGTCAAAGTTTGACACTTCTCTGGCCATAATCTCCATAACCGTTCAACTTTGGACATAGGTGTTTTGGGTTATAACGGCATGCTTTAACATAAGGAACACCCTCCCGAAGTCTGGGACATTCTGTATAATGAGTACTGTTACATTGTACGGTTACAACAGGAAATCGAAATGAGATAGTAAATTAAAAAGATTTTTGAAGTAAATGACATCAACCCCATCCATTATTTAACAACATAAGATTGGACAAATTATATGCAAGTTGCAATATTAGTAATAAACAAATGTTGAAGCCATTGAGGTATGTAATATTACAAATAATGTATTTGGAAAATACGTGTACTCCTGTCATTTTTGACAGTACCTGTATAAGTTTGTAATTGAGCATTTTATATGCAGAAGTACAACTTGAATTTCTCATGTCTGCCTGTTTAATGGTCATGTCTTCAGTTTGTGTAGCATCTTTTAATTCCTTGAACTTTTGTTGAATTAAGATTTTATATTGCATATTTCCTCTAGGTATAAGGGTCCCCCTGTGCGTAGTTTCATCATCTCAGATTTGAAGGTTTTAAAATCTGTGGTGCCACTGCACTGGCAGACAAATTTTGCTGGAGGATAATAGTATCGTTATTGAAAGAATGTACTGTTCAGACAGCTGAATCATGTGCATGTGCCATTACAACAAGGAAATGCACAGCCAGTAGAAGTTAAGCACCATGGCATGAATATGCATACAGGAGTCTTAAGAACATGTAATATATGTATTTCTCTTTTATTAACCACCTAATTGTATAGCATACCTAGACAGTTGACAGAAATATATATGTTTTGTAATATTTGTAATAATGATCAACAGTATTAAAAGTAGAAGCATCTTTGTCCATGGCGAAGAAGTAATTCCAATACAACATAATTTCAAAAATAGATTCAGAATGGCTATTAATATACTAAATTCATGAGTGAATTCAATATTTTCCAAAACTTGATTCTGTCATAAAGGTTTTTTAGGATATGCATTCCCTCTGTTTGTCCATTAAAAGCTGTAATAAACCTTACAGAGACTGCTCAATTTTAAAGAGATTACTATATGAGATTCTGTAAGAGCATGAACTTTTTCATAGGCAAATTAAACTTTCTTCCTTAAATCGAGCAAAATTTCATATCAGAAGTGAAGATCTATCTTATGACCAAGATTATAATATGCTGATAAGAGTCTACTGAACATCAAGGTCACAGTGACAGACAATTATGATGGTGAAAATCAGAGCCCTTGCAGAAAACCTTGCTACTTTGTCCATCACAAATATCATGCAATGTATGAATGCCTCTGCAGTAAGAAATCAACATTTATACACCTGAGCTTTTGGCTCAGGTGTATTTGGTATTCAAAACTACTATGGCCTACCTAGGGTCAAGAGATGCAACTTCATGATGTGTACTGAGGTTCAGGCTTGTCTCTTGGAGATTACCACAGTACTTGTCAATCTTGAGGGCAGTAGCTTTATCTTCATTATCCCGATCTAGAAAGTACTTAGCTGAACGAAGCAAACGAATCTGCTCATTAGCCTGTTCCAGTGTCCGATGTAACAGGGACTGGACTCCTTCAATTGTCTCTGCCTCTTTGAGCAACTCACGCTCCACATCATCATGTACTTGATCAATTCCTAAGCGCCCTTCTCTGATTAATATAAACGTTTGCTCATTAACAGAATCATTCACAAAACATCTCTGAAATTAACAAAGAGTTTACTTTTCTGGATTTACTGTAACACCCTTATCCCAAATAGATGCATTATATTACATTAACAAAACATCTCTGAAATTAGCGAAGAGTTTATTTTGCTGGATATACTATAATACCCTTACTCCAAACAGATGCATTACATTGTTACTAGGCTTCTGATATTAAGGGAACGGTAGCATGGTTATCTTTACAACATGAAAAGCCATTCCCATCTTTCATGTATATGTCAGCAAGTCATCCTACTGTGAATTACAGTCAGCTAACCATCTGTAGGCTAGCCAAAGCATAATTTTTCTTGGGAAAACAAAGGTATAAATTTCAGGGGGCAGAAGCCATTTTATTTTCACCTGGAGCACAGGAAACCTGGAGAACAGTATGAAATAAAATGATTTCATGAATGTTCCAGTTACTTACATCATACGAGTATGTACAATGAGAGACGGACACTGTAATGTATGAAGATGTTCTAATGCTTCTAGTCATATCTGCACAAAAAATACTTTCAGAGTGCACAGATTTTTCATTTCTTATTACTTACCAATCTTATGTAAATAATATACTGCAATATTAATCCCTGTAGCTGATTTCAAATTCATCTTGACATTTTGCTTTAAGAATAGTAATGATGATGGGTGATTCTTACATTGACTAATTGATTGATTGATTATTTGATGGAAAAATTGCAATGAATGGTGAATATGTAAAGATTTAGAAGTAGGCAGTCATGACCTATTTCAAGGTAGTATCTTCACATTAATATGGACAAAGGAAAATAAAAAAAATAAATTCCTTAGAAATAACCGGTAGTTTTGATATTTGGACGAGATATGTACAAAATATAAGTCTTTAAATATTACTGTGACACCAGTCTATTCAGTACAATAATGATAGGAAAATGGGATAGAAACTCTTTTAATTCCCCCCTGATGTAACTTGTATCTGCACATTGTACAGTTATTCTTACTTACCTAAGGATGATACATTTCTTAGAGGTCTGAGCTTGCTGTTTCAGAGATACTAGAGCACCTGTAATTCTTTCTTTATATATAAGCAAAGCTTCTTCCTCCTTACAGCATTCTTCCTTTTGTATTTCATTTTCCTTCTTCCAGTACTCAGTATCTTTAATTCTTTCTCCAAGTGTGTTATCTACTTCAGCTTTATTAAGCTTTGTAACCTCGGAAATCAAGTTGCATAGACGGTTAGATTCTGCAGTTACTCTAGCTGCTTTTTGTTGCTGGTCTTGTGCTGTTCTATAGTGGTGATGATTGTTTAGATACCACTCACGCAATGTAAAACGAGGTGGAGGTGATGAAACAGTCACTAGTGGATATTTCAGATGTTTGAAGTCCATATTGCCTAAATAACATAATTTTAATCTGTATAAAACGGTAATTTTAATTATTAGTGGCTCTTTTATAAGTGACGTATAATTTTGAGTTTCAGAAGGATTTCTTCCTTTCATATAATATGTCTTGATGATGTAACTGAGATCCTCTCTCACAAATTAGAGAGATTACAAACAAGTTGGGTATTATAGTGTGGCATGCAGACCCACTGTTAGGCAACAACCACAAGATAAGCAGTTATAAAACAGCCGTTCTAAATAATGACTCTGTGAACAATGGCCTTTGCTAGGCAACGGCGGAGTAGCGATCACGTGCTGAGATATTATAAGCAGGAGGGTCTATAACATCTCAGCACGGACCACACAGAAAACACTATTCCTCTGTTGCTGTTTCCAATGTTGCATTTGCATCTGACAGGATGCCCACTTGCTCTGACTCTGACAAAAGACAGACCCGTCCTCTCGTCATAGAGGACACCCCACAATAACAAGACCTAAACTGTCAAACAGTAATAAATATCTGGTCATGAGCCCCAGATTGGGCTCGACACCAAGACTGACTGACTGCCCATCAGTCGCAATGTGAGTTTGACTTTGACAATGAGTTGTAAGACAGTCGCTGCCCAGTAATGATGTGAACAAGGAAGTTGAGGGATCTACAGCATTGGAAGCCATTATAAGACAATAACTAGTGAAGATGCAGTAGACTGAGAAGACTTAGTATGTTACGTAGTGAACTGTCAAGTGTGTGAATTAGCAATAGTGCTATAGTTACTTGTAGTTAAGATCCATGAGTGTTCAGTAAATCCAGTTACCATTCCAACCCCCATTTATATACGATCAAACAGTCAAATACTGACAAATTGGAAATGTGGAAGGAAGTGGCTGTGGCCTAACTGAGGTACTATCTTGGCATTTACCTGGAGGGCCAGAAGAAAAAAAAGAAAGAAAGAAAACAATCAGGAGAGTTCCTAGCTAAGATTTGAACTGAGCACTTCCTGAATAAGAATTTGAGTGTTAACGCAGTGCCAGCCCACTTGGTGCATAACAGTTTTGGTCTAAAATGGACATTATATCTTTGCATGAATGCCTACATATGGTTTTAGATAAATTTCTACATAACATTTTGACCAAAAACTGCAAGGGGAGGCCATTTCAGAGATATAGATATTGTCTCATGTTAACGACCAGGCACACGGTTAGGACTAATTATGGTATTTATAGGATGTTTTATGTTTGTAACTATAAGTAGTTATAGTACTTTCACTATTTGTTTTCACTGTTTTCATTAGGCAGTAATGGCCAAGCAGAAGAACAGATCTCCATATATGTATATCCTGGGGTGGGGTGAGACTGAGTCCACTTGGTACATCGACCACTATTTGGCCTGTTATACCAAACCCAGACGATGAGCGCTGCGCATCAGTCAGTGGAATAAGAAAGGGCAGAAAAAACTGAAGTACTCAAGGAAAACCTGCCCCAGTGCCACCTTGTCCACCGCAAATCCCACATGACCTGGCTTGAGCTAAACCCGGGCCACCATGGTGGAAGGCCATCAACTAACCACCTGAGCTATGACATGGCTTCAATGTAACTCGAGCAATTAAAAGAAGCTCTTACAACTCGTGATTAAATGCTAGTAATAACAATTTTCTTTGGGAGACATTAAGAAATCACATGTAATCAGGGGTTTCTGACAGAAAGTGGAGTATTTATATTGAAATTCCAAGGAAACAGATTCATAGGCTTGCAGCAGTTAGTGTGTCCTTACCAAGCAAAATTTGTAAAAGAAGTAAAAATTGAGTAGTACTACAAAATGAAGATAACTAAATTAGAGAAGTATCACTTCTAAGCAAAATAATGACGTTATTCGCAAAAAAGAAAAATATAATACAACATATTAATATAAATTCATAAGACTGTACCAACAGGGCATTTTTACATCAGTCACTGATACCCACTGCGGTCTAGTGAGGAGTGCATTAACCCAAGAAAGCTCAGAAACGTCCGTTGACTTTCAACGGACTGCGCGGCGCTATAGACCACAAGATCGAGCCATTTAGTAAATATCAAATAGATGAAAACGCTGTAGCCACTAATAAAGTGACTGTATTTAGGCACGGTTTCTTCATTAAATAATTGTGATATACCTTATGCGCGGTTATTTCATCCTTTCGTTAGCAAAAACAGATATATTTTTCGCATCAAACTCAATTCACAACTAATTCATGATTTCAGCGTGAATACACTGTTCTAAATAAACGAATCGTTGTCATGGAAACTGTTCCGTTTAGTCATTGGTCAGTAGTAGTGGTACGAGCAGTACGCGTAGACTAAATTACACTTCTTGGCGAAGAAGAGAGAAAAAGGAAGACCAAAAGGCGGAATCACTTGGCTCATGAAACCCAGGCTATCGCCATTCAATATGTTATACAGAACAGACAACATCATGGCAATAAAGACAAAACTATGTACACTAATACCCACTTACTTTCGGCCAGACTTCGGGTAAGACAAGAATATTGCTGAAATAATGGATACCCTAAGTACGATTTCAAACAGAGAGCCAATATTAATGCTGGGGGATTTTAACTGCAGAATAGACACAAAGAATCATAAATCAAATATTATTATAGAAGTTATTGCAAGAGAAGGCCTCACACTAATCATCGAAAAGAAACAAAAGACACACGTCGGTTTCAACGGAAGCAGCACAATCGATTTACTCCTCAGTAATAGGACCCCAATATCACAAACGATCACAAAGGGTCCTGTCCAACGTACTCGTAGTTGCGAGAAAACATCTGCCCGTCAACACTACAATACACGTCCAAAACACGCTCACAAAGGCCGCACCGGAGATAAGAAAACGAACAAGGAAAATAGACCCGGAACTCCTAAACCAGAAAGACATTTGAAGAGTGACAGACGCACCCATACAAAGCTCTCCCTCCTAGACAGCCACACTTCCCAAGAGACATCCCAATGCAGACATGGGAAACGCACTTCAAAGGATTTCTACAGGCAAGAGAGACACAACCAAATGAAACAGACCTGGAACCCTGCACAGATATAAATCAGGAACTATTTACAATATAAGAAGTGGAAAAGGCACTCAAGGAACTGAAAACCCGAAAGGCGTGCGGCCCAGACTAAATATACAATGAGCATTTGAAAGATACCACCCCAACTCTGAAAGGAGTGTGGACTAGTCTGTTCAACGAGTGTCTGAAACAAAGGAAGATACCGGCCGCTTGGCGGCTAGCCACTCAGAAAGCCCTATACAAATGAAAAGGCGAAGTCAGTGACCCAAATGCATATAGGGGAATAGCAGTGGAATGCACTTGTTTCAAGCTCCTGTTCTCCACCCTAACAAAGAGACTTTACATGATGACTGAGAACACACTACCAGATGAACAATTCGGTTTCCGAAGAGGAAGATCGACTCTGCAAGCAGCGAGCTGTCTGAAAAAAGACATCGAAAAGGCGCTAAAACACCCAAGGTACAAACTGCATGCAATTTTTATAGATTATACAAAAGCGTTTGACCTCACCAACAGAACCATGCTCATCGAGAAGCTGGAAGAGAGAATTGGCAAGAACTACACCACGAAAATTCTCAGAAATATACTAGGAAAAAGTTCCATCCAAATTGACGACACTATAGCCAAACCACAACCTTTACAACAGAAGAATGCGGTACTTCGACGAGACCCCCTCAGCCCGCTGCTGTTTATAATAGCCACTGCGGACACAACAAAAGCAATACAGAATGAGAAAAATGTCAAGTTCTACGCATACGCGGATGACATGGTGCTCGTAGCCAAATCAGTAGAAAGCCTCCAGACAGCCGTCAACAATGTCACAGAATGGGCCGACAAGAAAGAACTGCTTCTGAACAGAACAAAAACCGTCATAATGACGTTCAGAAAGGGAGGAAGACGAACTATTACAGACAGAATTCTCTATGGGGAAGAACCTCTGGAACTCGTAACCGAATTTAAGTATCTGGGGATCATTTTTCAAATGAATGGAAGAAACTTCACGACCCGTGTCGGCGAAAGAGCAGCATCTGCAATAGTTGCTTCGCACGGAATAAAAAATCTCAGCCGATTATTAATGACGACTGCTATGAAGTTTTTCGACCTAAAAATTTTACCAATCTTGACATGCGGCATAGAAATTATCTGGAACTACCTCACCAAAAGGAACCTTACAGACGAAGAAAGAGTCAAATCAAACTTTTTAAAACGAGCCATATGCCTCTCGAAATACACCCCGTCCCGCCTGACATACGTACTGGCCATGGAAACATATGCCATCGAACATATACATCAAAAACTGCTACTGCCAAATACAGCGTCCTATGGTGACCTACAAGATCTAAATGCTAAGGGGAAGGAAATATGGTCGGAGTTCTACTGCACCGACGCCATGGGTAACACCGAATGGATGCGTGCAAACTACACCCTTAGACATCTGATGACGCGTTCTGCTGTCCATGGCTTCCACCACAGGATATGCAGTGTGCAAAATCACCACGTTATTGGAGAACAATGTGTATGCAAATTGTGTGGAAACAAGTGTGAACCATACCTTGTGCTAGCGTGTGCCAAAAGACCCACATCGTTAACTCAATTCTGTAAAGACTAAACTTGCACATTGTGCACTATCCCAATTATTATTAAATTTCTAAGAGAGTACGTTGGCGTCTTCTAGTTACCTAAAACTCTGGTAATTGAAACTTCTGTAGAGATAACTCGAAAGATATTTCGTTATGATTTGTTTAATCCGTCTTGCAGTGCGTACACTTATCTATCTTCTTCTCTCACTCTCACTACATGTTTCGGCATAAAAATGCCATCTTCAGGTGCTACTCAAGACTCAAAACGAAGACAGAACACACACACACACATACCCAGCAGACCCAACAGCATAACGCACGCAGTCGCGAGAACAAGACGCAACAGAAACACAATACACACGATAGGGAAGATGAGCTCCAACAGAGTAGGATGAGCATGACTGGCGTAATAAGATACGACGTAGCGATCGGGAATCCTGAACAGTTTTAATATTTTTACGATTGACATTTGTCAATATATATGATGGACATATATTTTAGTTATTTTAAAGTGAAGACAAGGCATACAATGTACTAGTTTGACGTGAATTGAGTAGCACCTGAAGATGGCATTTTTATGCCGAAACATGTAGTGAGAGTGAGAGAAGAAGATAGATAAGTGTACGCACTGCAAGACGGATTAAATCATCAGTGCAACAGGACGCTAAAATATAACATAGATATTTCGTTAGTTCGTCTTTGCATTATTAATTCGTTTGTCGAGTCGGTTGATGGAAGTAGCAGCTTGTATTGCAAGTCTTATAGCAGTGGACCTTCTCTTAAGGAGCATACACATTACTCGTGCTCGTGCTCGCCAGGCTTGTGCTTGTCGGGAGACTCGTCTTGCTTTTACTTGTGCTCGTAAATCTTCGTCCACATTACTTAAGTTGCTCGCCAGTCTTCGGCGCGTCAGGATCCGTATATTTACTCGTAGTGTGTAAAGGCTGTAGTTGTATTTTGATTTATTGGCTATAGTTTTTAAATTAAAAATTTAAAATTTGCTTGTCTCGTGAATTGTCATATCGTTAACATTACTCGCGAGCATAGCGAGTCACACGAGCACGAGTAATGTGGACGCGCCTTTACATGGAGGAGGTGTATATTGACACCATCAGGGCCTTCTTTCAAGTATTATTTCTTTTTATTATTGGCAGTGGGGTGGGACTAAGTCCCTTGTACTGCGGCCACTTCTGGTCTACTGTACCAGCCCCAGATAATAGGTGAGGGTGATTGTGGAGAAATTGGTGGAATTAAGATTGGCAGGGGAAACCGAAGTACTGGGAGAAAACCTGCCCCAGCCCCACTTTGTCCACCACAAATCCCAGTTGACGAGACCCGGGATCGAACCCGGGCCGCCGCGGTGGGAAGCCAGCGACTAACCGCTTGAGCTATGGCGCGGCCATTCTTTTAGATATGTTGCGTTCACACATCCTAACGCGGCAACGCAATTGTGAATTGTTGTTTGTAATTCTTGTGACATGTTTCATATTCAGTGCAGATTGCACTTATGAATATCCTGAAACGCACATGTATGTATGTGAGAAGAGTGGCATGTTCCTTACCTGGAATGTGAGTTTCTCAGCCCTTCAGCGAGATTCGTTGCCATTTTCTTAATTTACACTGCTGCATTCAGGAACATGTGTTCAATTCTGGCTGATAACAATTCACGGACATCGCGGTTGCGTTGCGGTTGCCAGTTTTTTGGTTTTCATCCGCCCAACACTCATACAGCAGGTTACACGGTCGCTTAGAAATTAACCGTTTAATCCACGGATCTTTCAATATGGAGAAAAAAACAGATCTGCGAACGCTACCAAATTGACGCGTGTGCTTCATGTTCGCTGTACTTAATTAAGTAATCACTGACTCTCTGACACCAGGAAAAATGGTTGGGGAAGCGGAAAGTCTGTGTACTTGAAGGTTGTGTCTGTCATCCGCACCGACGTTTCGTAAATAAGTACGTATCGTTGACTGCTGCTAATGTAAGGTTTGTACGTTAGCGTATTCCACAGGCTGGTAAGTAGTACGTAGTAATGTACTGCGTCTTAGGGCATTGCTGCATGGTAACGTATTGCAGCGATTGATTTTTTTGACGTTGCATTTGTATATTGCATAGGCCGCGCCTTAGCTCAAGCGGTTAGTCGCTGGCTTTCCACCGCGGCGGCCCGGCTTCGATCCCGGGTCTGGTCAAGTGGGATTTGTGGTGGACAAAGCGACGCTGGGGCACGTTTTCTCAGAGTTCTTCGGTTTCCCACTGCCAATCTTAATTCCACCAATTGCTCCACAATCACCCTTACCTATCATCTGGGGTTGGTACAATAGGCCAGAAGTGGCCGCAGTACAAGGGGCTTAGTCCCACCCCACTAGCATTAAAAGAAATTATATATTGCATATACGGAACAGTGTGTCGAATATATGTAATAGTTAACATAAATTTATTGCTCTCAGTGTGTTCGAAATATGCTCAATAATCTGTAACATAGAGGTACATTTCCTTGTGTTCTCTTTATTTATGTACATTAATAGTTTTAATGCCTTTCGTTGAATCCTAGTAGTGCTACGCAATCCAAACACTTAGTTTCACTGGTATAGTTTTTCCCTACCGACGCCCAGGTTTGGCCGAATACCCTAATTCTTGCATTGTTTTTCTGATGTAAATTACATAACCTATTAAGCCCCATATTTGTTTTATTGATATTTCACAATATGTAAGAAGGAACAAATTTACAATATAGTCACCATGTATACCTGGTACTGCATTTGGGCTTTACTTGATAATTGCTAGGCTTTAATGCATAGAGCTTTAACATATTACCAAAGGTGGGTTTTACTGAGACCGCCTCTGTAGTCTAGTGGTCAATGTTCGATTGCCGGCGCAACCAGTTTTTTTTCCTGAGAAGTAATGGGTCTGGAACGGGGTTCACTCAGCCTTGTGATCATAATTGAGGAGCTATTTCAAGGAAATATAGGCTCTGGTCTAGAAAACCGAAATTAACAGCCGTGATGATTTTTTTATTATAGAAAAAAATATTGTAAATACAAAAATGGCCTAGGCATTGCCCATCTGGCCTTCTGTAGCACATTCTTATAAATATCTTATTCTATAGTAGCAGTTCCCTAGCGATTCTTAATATAGCTCTTAACATCTATTAACAGACTGAGAACACTAGACTGTATGCTGTAGTGAGCTGTAAAGTGTGGATGTACGAATAGAGATAGTGTTATAGTTATTTGTAGTTGTGACCTGTAAGTGATCAATAAATCTATTCACCAATCCAGAAAGGATGAAAGCCAAGACAGACACCTATCAAGGAAAGATGGAGTCAAATGCAGGAGAACTGTAGTCCATGAGTATGAGGGGTGGACCATAAAATCCGGCCCTCGCACTGCAACCTTCAATGATCTATTCCCCTTTGCATTAACCCTTTATTAATCCTACACTTTGAATGAAATGTAGGACTTTATTTGTGGGGGCATCATAAGTCACTTGGTTCCATGAAGAACTGACCCAAGTGGCGAAATCTTTTATCTGTAGCCTCACAGTCACATGAGATGTGTGTGGCTGATTTGTCTTCTTGTAGGCACCTTTCACAGGTTGGGTCATCTGTCAGTCCCATTTTGCAAAGGTGTCGTTTTAGGTGGCAGTGTCCAGTAAGTAATCCTACCACCCATCTTAATTGATCTCTGTTTAATTTCAACAGGTCCCTTGTTCTTTTGGCAGAGGGTCCTGATGTAAATCCTTTTGCCTGTTTGAGTCCAGCTATGGATTCACAGTGTATTTTGTGATTTGTATTTGTCCAGTACCTGATTGCTTTGTTGGCAACTCGAACTGAGATGCTGCAATCTCGTTCAGCTCCTGTGAACGGCTGTTCAGATCCTGTTCTTGCCAGCTGCTCTGCTGTTTCATTCCCAGCAATACCCTCATGGCCTGGCACCCATATCAGCTGAACTCTGTTATGTCTGGCTAGTTGTGTGAAGGATTGGTGGCAGTCCCAAACCAATTTTGAAGTGATTTGGTGTGTATCAAGAGCTTTAATTGCAGCTTCACTATCTGATAGAATATAGATATTCCTATTTTTATAGTTTCTATCTAAATTCTCAACTGTGCATGCCTTAATGTCATACACTTCTGCCTGGAATACTGTTGTATACTGACAAAGGCCGAAACTACATTGCCACCCTATTCCATCATAATACATCCCAGCTCCAGTGCCTTTATTTGTCTTGGAACCATCTGTATACCAGATTAGTCCCCCTTTTGTATCAGGTTGAAACCCCTCTTTCCATTCGCTTCTGTCAGGAAATCTGATCGTGAAGGGTTTATCATAAACATGTTTCGGTATCATTTTATTAGATCCCATCTGTAGGATGGGTCATGTCCTGAATTATGTATGCATGTCCAAAACCTTCGAATTTGGGTCACCATTGATCATTGCAATGGAATCTGTAATTTCCAAACTTGGTCTCTGCTTCCATCTGCAGATGGAATGGGGGGAGTCCTAATAGAATTTGCATTGCAGCTGTTGGACCTGTTATCATTGCTCCTGTAATTCCCAAGCGGGCCATCCTTGCAATTTACTTAGTTCTACCTGACTTGTTTTAAGTTTAACTCTAGGCCACCATATAGTGGCAGCATAGGTAATTATGGCTCTTACTACAGCAGTGTATATCCAATACACCACCTTTGCTTTCAGCCCCCAGGTTTTTCCAAACGTGCCACTGCATGTCCAGAAGGCCTTATAGGCCTTGTTAATAGCCTTATCCAGCTGTTTCTTCCATGTCAGTCCCTTGTCTAATGTTATTCCAAGATACATGACTTCACTGGATAGCCGTATCACTTTAGTAAAAAGGATTGGTTCCTTAACCCGTTGCCGTGGTTCGACGTGTATGTTTTGTCAGGGATTTAAATCGTCTCGGGGGGTTCGACGTGTATGTTTCGTCCAGCTGCACACCTATGTTATAACGCCCATAATAATTGATGGTTTTGCTGTAGATTGTTAGATTTTTCGCTGGCCTGTTGTCAGTAGAACAGAGTATAAATAAGACACGACTTTATCTGCGCCAAGTCATCGTTACATATGCCTGTCTTGCAGCAAAGTTCCTGTGGCTCTGGCGAGCGGTTTCTACGCCGTACTCTTATGAAAGGCGTGTTTTCTTTGCTTTGAAGATATAAACAGCAGAGACGTGATGTGTACTTTGTTTATCATATAATATTGCCCTGAGCTGGCCACACGAACACACTCAATTGGAATTCTTAGAATAGGGATGTCCAGGAATTTATTCTCGCATGATCCATTGATTTCGCACAGTACAAAGGCCCAGTTCTTAGAAAAACGCCACAATTTAAGGCAGAACACTGTGGTCACCCCCTGAGACGATACGGATGTGTGTGGGGGAGGGAAAAGAACTCATTCCTTCATGTATTATCGCTCCAGCTGACGCCATTTTATCGTACTGACCTTGGTGGTCGTTTCGAGGGATGACCATAAATATTTTTTTGAGCCAGCTAGGCTCTGCTTTCGTGCACTACATACCAGCCAGTACTTAGAATAACTTCATGAATTCTGTGGTCACCCCTACGACATCTACAGCCGCCAAAATGGATGGAATATCAAAGGCATAGCAACAACCCCTTGTTATGATAACTCGTAACGTTGAATTTACTGCAGCTGACCTGACTAGCTTTACTGCTCACGGAAGGACATTTCCTTGAACTATACCCCTCACGGGGAAGAGGGCTAGGCCGCACAGAAGCTGTGTGGTTAAAAAAAAAGAGCAAAAGAAAAGATACGAAGTATTGGTTTGGTGAATGTGAGCCAGCGCTGTGTTTAGACTAATGCTTCAAGGCGTCACCTGCTTGCATTGCCGAGATACCGGGTGCTCATATTATAAGGCAAGGTTATAAAACCATCTTTTAAGATCATTTTAGTGAAAGTTTCATCCTTCAAGGCGTACCATTCACTGCTCAAATACTAAACAACCTGCTTCCATGGCCGAGATACAGGGCGCCCATATTATAAGGTAAGGTTATAAAACCACCATTTAAGATCATTTTAGTGAAAGTTTCATGTTCCTATCTCATAGAATTTAAGAACAATGATGAATAAATTATTTTCGAGCAAAATTTAAATGGCCGGCTGAATATATTACCGCAGGAGACGCAGCCGCAGAATTTAAATGACCGCGTCAAAGGGTTAAGCCCCTTGATATCCCTCCTCCTAGTAAAGGGTATAATTACTGTCTTGTTTGGATTGATAAACAAGTTTGTTATTTCACACCACTGTTGAACAGTGTACAGGGCTGTTTGTAAGACCTCTGACACAGTGTAAGGAAATTTCCCATTGATTAGGATTGCTGTATCATGAGCATATCCTACTTTGAAGTGACCTTTACTGTTGAGCTCCCAAAGATCATCCATGACCAGGCTCCACAGCAGAGGGGAGAAAACACCTCCCTGCGCACACCCCCTCTCTGCAGATGCTCTCAGGGTCTCTCCAGACAATGTAGCACTTATATTCCTGCTTTCCGGCATAGCATTGATCCATCTGCATATTGCAGGCTCTGTGCCATGCTATCTAGCGGCCTGTTTGATTATATCAAATGAGGTTCTATTGAAAGCTCCCTCTATGTCAAGGAATGCTCCGATGGCAATATCCTGGTGTTCAATCACACTTTCTGTGTGTGTTACCACATTATGTAGTGCGCTTTCGGTAGATTTACCTGTTTGGTAGGCATGCTGGTTTCGGTGTAGAGTATATGTCCTCAACGCCCCATCCCTGATATGCCTATCCACTATTTTCTCCATCGTTTTCAAAAGGAAAGATGACAGGGTGATAGGACGATAAGCCTTAGCCTTGGTGTAATCTAGTTTCCTGGGTTTGGGATAAATGTCACCTTAACTTGCCTCCATGCCATGGGGATAAAACCATATGCCATGCAGGCTCTATATGTGTGGCATAGGTGTGGAACTAAGAGTTCTGCCCCTTGCTGCAAAAGTGCTGGTACAATTCCATCTGTTCCCGCTGACTTAAATGGTCTAGAGGTATTCAGTGCTCATCTGATTTTTGATTCGTTAATTATGACTTTGGCCAGGTTCCAGTCGAACCTGTTCATCTTGCTTTGGCAAGTGCCCAGATTTTCCTGTCCCTGTCCATTGTCCAAATTATCAGTCAATTTAAATCAGGAAAGGGAACCCTGAATATTCGTTCAATGTCTCCCTTCCTGTTTGAGTATACTGCCCGTTAGGCAGCTTAATCGTGCTGACCTTGTTGGTCGCCTGTTTTGCCATGATCCTCATGAGTCTGGCACCGTCTGGTAGATCTTTGATCTCCTGGCAGCAGTGCCTCCCCCATGAGGATTGCTTGGCTTTCCTTATTTCTTTGTTGTAACAGGTAAGGGCTTCCTTGTAGGTGTCCCACTGCCCTGTTCTTTTAGCTATATTAAACAGCCTTCTCGTTTTGGTTCTAAGCCCACTTAGCTGTCTATTCCACCAAGGCATTCTCCTTGGTTCGCGAGTGGTCCTAGCCAGACAATTCGATTAAAGTACGAGATAATAGCATGTTGCAACTGTTCAGTGGACCGATCAACATCCTTTATTGTGCGTATATTTCACGAGATGGTCTCCAGATTTACCTTTAGGTCATCTTTGTAAGATTCCCAATTGATTCTCTTAGGATTCCTATAAGTAGCTTGATCTACCGTAATGTTACTTATTTGAAAGCATATATATCTGTGATCTGACAGGGACTGCTCATCAAATACATGCCAATTATTGATCAGGTTTCCTATTTTATTAGTCCCTAGTGTCAAGTCGATAACCTCCTGCCTATTGCAAACCACAAAGGTAGGCTCATTACCTTGGTTTAGAATATTTAGGTTCGAACTCACCAAATATTCCAGGAGGCATTCTCCTCTTGGGTTGATGTCAGTGCTTCCCCACAATGTGTGGTGTGCATTGGCATCACACCCAATGATGAGCTGCTTTTTCCTGAGATGACGATATTCAACGATGTCCCTCACTTCTTTGGAAGGTGGTGGTTCATCCGAGTCACATGGAAGTTAGGCTGAAATGATGATGAGCTCCTCACAGCCTCTGCCCAATGTGTATGTCATCCTCACCATTGTTGTGTCTCTGGAACAGAACTCAAGCAAGGGTAAAGCATTAATATGATTATTAACATATATGCATGATCTCACATTTTCTCCAGGTACCACAGAGTAGACTGTCCCCCCTGAATTCGTTAAGCCTCTTATTTGGCCCCTATAAATCCAAGGTTCCTGACCTTCAGCAAGTTGTTGACGNAGGTTCCTGAATAAGTGCTACATCTACTTTTCCTTCAGCAAGTTGTTGACGTAAAATTGCCGTAGCAGCCTTGCTGTGGTGTAGATTAATTTGAATGAATCATATTTTATGTGTAAATGTTATGTGTATATGTACGTGGTGCAATCCAAAAGTTCCCGAAATATATTAATAAAAACTATTACATCTTACCTAGATCTTATTCTGCACCATCATCTTCAAAGTAGTCCCCTTGGGAGCGCATGCACCGATCCCAGCATTTCTGCCATTTTTCAAATGCATCCTGGAAGTCTTTCTTTGTTAGGGTGTTTAGTACCGTCTGCGTTTCCACTTGAATTTCCTCAACTGTATCAAATCTTCGCACCTTCAACTTGATTTTCATCTTGGGGAAGAGAAAGAAGTCACATGGAGCTAAGTCTGG